TCAAATAATTAGAACATGTGTCCCAAATACATAATTTTATACCTTGGACCTCAATAATGACTTGTCTAACAAAGTTAAAATAATAGGATGGCCGAAACAGGTTTGGCTCAGTGGTAGAGCGTCGGGCTGTGGACTGAAAGGTCCCAGGTTCAATTCCGGTCAAGGGCAAGTACATTGGTTGAGGGTACATCCACAGTAGGGGGTGTGCAAGAGGCAGCTGGTCGATGTTTCTCTCTCATCGACGTTTCTAGCTCTCTATCCCTCTCTCCTCCTCTCTGTAAAAAATCAATAAAATATATTTTAAAAAAATAGTAGGATGGATGAAGAGTAATATTTTATGTATAGAAATATTAAAAAGAAACTATATATGGATTAAACTATAAAATCTGGTTTTAATACTATTCATAGTTGTGTTTGTATGGTTATTACAGAAAGAAGGATAAGATCCGATTTAAACCCATTTAACAAATTGTCAAGGTAAACTTTATTTCTTGTCTAGTGCATAAATTTTAAATATTTTCTTATTTATTAACAATTTAAGGAACTGAGCACTGAAAACAGAGTCAGAAAACTTTATACTATATATAAATGGTCAAGCCAGCCATTTGATCTTTAAGTCTAAGGTACCCACAAAGAACTTATTTTAAACTTTTAATTTTTTGAGTCACTAGAATATTTTAAACTGAGTTTTAGGGAAAAGATTATTTAGTGCTTTATTATACTGATATAGCTAAGAAACTAGCATATTCAATAAATTAACAAGTAATATCTTTATGATTAGAAAAATGCATATATATGGAGCATAACTAGAGTTATGCAAAGCATTTGTTAGTTTCTTGTGTCAGTAGAGAAAATATAAAGAAACTGAGTTGAAATAGTATGCAATAAGATGCATTTGTCAGTTATTGAATTACCAAAGAATTATCATTAACTGATTACAAACAGTATTGTAGAACATTTAGAGGAACTAAAAAAATCTATCTTAGCCTTTTCCAAATGACTGTTTCCTTAAAGGTGTTCACAAATACAGACATCTAATTTGTAAATTATATGAAGAAAGAAACTATAGCTAATTAATCATATACTATATTTTATACCAAGAAAAGATAGTAAGACTGAAATACTAGAAAAAAAACCACTAAGTTTAAATTCACCAAACACAGTCTTATTATACGTGTGTGTATTAAAGAATTCTACACAAACAAAAGCTTAACAGCATCATGTGTTTAAATAATAGACTTACATAATTCTATTTAACTATAAACATCATATACATCAACACAGTGAAAGTGCAGCCAAAAAAATCAAGACCATCTACATTATCAGAAATATCATGTCATAACAAGGCAGGTCTTCTTTAAGCCAGAAAGACCAGATGTGTAGCACAGATATTGAAGTCAATTCACTATATTCTCTCTTCCAAGAAGGGAGTATCATTAACTGAAAACTTATCCAAAGAAGCACTTGATGCTATGTCTTATGAAAAATGGCTAAAAATCTAGAAAAGCTTCATTAATCAGAGACTTAAAAGAACACGCAGTAACTATATAAACAACTTAATGGTTACCAGAGATGGATTAGATCCAGGGAAAAGTCTAATGTACGGGCACTTAAAAAGTTGTGTCTTACACCACCATGGAAAGAACAAACAAACACTCTTTTCACTAAACAGTAAACAGAAGATTCACCTTATATCTTTTCATATCCTTAGTGTTAAAGGAATGCCTTTTATGTAAGCACTTAATATATTATTAAATGGAAAAAGTAGTATTAACTAAATGGAAATATACTAGTAAATGAGTGTGGTTAGAGGTAGAGAATTCTTTACATAAAGCATATATGTGAGGAGTGTTTCCTAGAGTTTGTTTTATGGAGCATTAATCCCATGAATTATCTACAGTTAAAGGGTTACAGGAGAACATGGAAAATGGCACACCATTGTCTCCAATTTGAATAGATGAATCACTCATTTTGGATTTGTGAGAAGGCCTTTATTGAAGATGTCTGTTTAATTCTATTCCTTGATGCTTCCCATTTTTTAAACCATAGCCCCTTTTTAATGGCATAGCTACTGAACATCAGGGGATCTTTGGCAAATACTATTTAAGGTGGAATTATACACAGGACAGCTTGTTAGGCTAGTAAGAGTCAACTCACACCTGGGTCTTTGAGGACAAACATATATTAAACTTTCTCACAAACTTGAAACATCTTCATTATTGTTCTTTTAAGAAGGGTTAAGCTGCATCTAAGTATGCTATCTTTGCTTCCTAAGATTATGAGAGGCATATATCTTCTTTAAATCACAGCAATATTGTTTATTCAGTTGTGCTTTAGTCCAGGCCTGGGGACTTGCCCATGGTGCCCTTGATGTATAAGGACGGACGTGCTGCCAGTTCTTTTTTAGCAAAGACACCAGGAACTTGACAGCTATGAGGATGTTGTACACAAGCTCATCATCTATCACCTTCACATGGCCAACAGCCTCTGGCAGACAAAGCAACCTCTTCTTCTGGAACTTGATTATAGATTTCACTTCGTGGACTTTGGCCACCATGTTCTCAGTGAGGGTCAACAGGAAGGAACTTGCCAGCCTTCTTCAGGCCTGGGCCCAGGATTACAGGGATCTGCTTGATGAGAGACTCTACAGCCAAAAAGGCATCATACTTCTTGGCCAGCTTCTTGACCAGTTTCTTATTCTTGTTGAGTTTCTTCAGCACCTGGGTGTCCATGGGAGGATATTCAAGGCCTTGGCCTCTTTGCAGTGCTGCTGGTCCCCAGAACAATATGGACAACTTGAGGCTGGAGTGGATTTAAGCCTGACAGTGCCTGAGAAGTGTTTGTCCTTCTGAGGGTCATATTTCTTCAAGCCGATCTGCAGCTCCACTGTCTCCAAAAACTTCTGGTGCTTACACTGGTTCCCATGCAGAACTTCATGCATCACCTCCTTCAGAGAGTCCTGAGAGACTGCTGCTCATTGCTCCTCAAGTGGCAAAAAACAAAAAACAAAAAAACAAACAACAACAAAAACCACAGAAAAGACAAAGACATATCTTTTTTTTTAATTACTTTATTGATTAAGTTATAACATAACTCCTCCCCGCATGCCCTCATCCCTGTTGTCCATGACCACTGGTTAGGCTCATATGCATGCACACAAATCCTTTGGTTGATCTCTCTCCCTTACTTCCACCCTCCCCTACCTTATCTCTGAAGTCCGACAGTCTTATTGATGCTGTTCTTGTTCATCGGTCTATGTTGTTCATCATTTCCCCTAGATGAGTGAGCACACGTGATACTAACATATCTTGAAGTCCTTGCAGGATCATCTTCTCCCCACTTTTGGAAGCTTAGCAGGGAGCTGGCTTAGCAGATCCAACTTTGCTCAAAACAATGAAGCAGACACCAAGCAGTAGATAGCAAAGGTTCCTCCTTTCCATCAAGGCCACCTCTCCAAACAGGTAGCCTTCACAGGTACAGAGTCACATATATACTCAGTTGACTCCATTCCACAAATGTGGGAAAATGCCAGGGGTGGAAAAATGAATAGTTTTATTGCAAATAAAAATTCTACAAGGGTTACTAGGTTTAGCAAATAAAAACACAAGATGTCCAGTTATATTTAAATTGCAGAGTAACAACAATAAGTACATTCTATATAATATTTGGAAATACACACCCACACACACACACACACACACACACACACACAGACACACACCCAGCTACCGAAACGGCGGAACGGTTGAACACTGCAGTGGCCAACTGGCTGGATCCAGGCCCCAATCATCCTCGCCTCACCTCACCCCAAATTGGCCTCCCTCACCCCCATCAGGGACAGGGCTGGCTGGCCAACCTCCTGCATCCTCTCCCCACCACCAGCCCAGCCCCAGTGGCCCCCATTCTTGGTTGTCCTAACTCCAATAGCTCCTACAGCACTCACAGTTTACAATTCCATTATTCTAAGCAAAGTTTGCCTTGTTCTTCATGACTAACCGGAGGTCATGCTTTCATATTTCGGAAGCAGAGGAAACAAATTCAAAAGTTAAAGAAAACTGAGGGATTCACTAAAAGATAATCCTTATATTTATGAAAATTCTCTTGCTTCAAAAGAAATGTTACCTTCAGGCTAAAAAGGCACCTTAAATATTTCAGCAACAATAGCTGTTATTCATCATCCATATAACTTTAAATACCTGTCATTTCCTGGACAGTCAGTGCCAAATAATTTTTATTTCAAACAATTATAAAAGCAGTTGACTATTTCATTTCTTTGACTACTGTATGGTACTAAGAAACTCTAGAGCATTCTTCAAATTCCATGAAAGGTATTTATGTAAAAGGAAAAATCCACCTTCTCTAATGGGTTCTCCAAATAGTTTGATTTATAAAACATTTCTCTGCACAAACAATTTATTGATATAATGCTAATTTCTTTTACCTTCTCCTTAACTGACTTGCTGCTATTAAAAGACAGTGATGATAAGAGTTTTCTGTAATTAAATAACATGTCCTCTTGTAATCTGAATGCCAAGGACTGCTTTCAAGTGATTAAAAACATGTTCACCAACATCTTCAGCTTAACATAAAATAAATGATTCCAAATCATACAAATGGCTAAGAATTATGACATTAGGCTTACCAATTAAATTTTAAAAGTCCAGTTAAATATGGATTGCAAATTTTAAATTCCAAATTTGGAATATACTTAAATTATTTATTATCTGAAATTCAAATTTAACTGGGCATTCTGTATTTTTATTTGCATGTCTGGCATTTCTATGTGGGCCACCTAGTATAAGACATTTGCTAATTTTCATGTTTTCTTTTTCCCTATCAAAACACTTGTTTTCATTTTTCCCCTTGAATAGAGATAAGTAATTTTCCAGCTCTTATTTTCCTTATTAACACATCTCTTTGCTTTTAACAAAGTCAGGTTCCCACTACTAAATCTGTAGTCTATAGGACATACATTCTGAAGTGAACAACATTTTACCTACCTGTGGGTAATAAATGAGAAGTCCACATAATAAAATATTTCTTTCTTTCACCTCCTTTGCTAGTTCCCTAATCTGCATTAGGTTTTCCATTTTATGATCAAAATGTACTGATTTATAATCAAGAAAATGCACCTGCAAAATAATATAAAAATGAATAATTAGAATACTCTTTATTCATTTTTCTTTGAACATGTAACATTAAAGAAACTAAAATTATATTATAATTATTTTTTATAATTAACAATTTGTATTAATTTATAGTTAAGCATTATAAGCCATAAGTATTTAATATGATCAGTATATAATCTTTTATAAATACAGATGCAGTAAACACTCATAGAGAATAAAATGCTGAAAAACATAAAGTGCTAATATAATGTATAAAAACATGATTATAACAATTCACTCAACTTAAATCATAATTTATAATTTGAATCTAGGCAGGAGGTAAATATTTATAAATATCAGTATATGTTAAATGAACAATATCAATAAAATTTAAGCATGCTTAAATATATGAAGTTCTTTAAAATAATCCAATTCAAAGTAATTAATTTTATATTTGACAAATAATGAACTATTTCTTAAATTTAAAATGAACTTATACAGAATTATTTTTAGCAGTATTAAAATAATGTTTTCTTGAAATTATTCAAACAACTTTTTTAAACATTATTTTTAATTTAAAATTTAAGGACAGGGTGGTCTTTCATCATTTCTCTAAATTATTTTTTTTCCTTACTATTTTTCTTTTTTGAAATATAAAAGACATGCAACCTTAAAATAAGTAACTTAAAATGCAAATGCACTCTAAGAAGAACATTTAGTAATATATATATATATATATATATATATATATATATATATATATTCTTTCACAATACCAAGTTATAAAAACTTTTATGGATTGCAATTTGTTCAATGATGTACATTTATTAACCAGAAGAATTTTAAAGTATACTCCACCCTCTCCCCTACTAGTCCCTTCCCTTTGTCTCTACTCATTTATATGAATATACACTGTTTTAGACAAATGAAACAACAAAACATCATATCATGCTCTTTCTATAACACAGAAAATAATTTTTTTAGCAATGATAAACATACAAATGACTGAATTATAAAAACACAATTTCCAAACCCATAAACTTAAACATAGAAGGATGTTTTACCAAATTTCTTTGAGAAACTAATATATCAATAAAAAACGAATGGTATAAAGCAGTGGTTCTCAACCTTTCTAATGCCAAAACCCTTTAATACAGTTTCTCATGTTGTAACCACAAAATTACTTTCATTACTACTTCAGCGACCCAAAGGCTGAGAACCGCTGCTGTAGAGCCTAAGACCATGGTAAAAACCCAGATATTTACATTACGATTCATTAACACTAGCAATATTTCAGTGATGAAGTAGCAACAAAAATAGTTTCATGTTTGGGGTCACCACAACACAAGGAACTGTACTAAAGGGTCAGGGCATTAGAAAGGTTGAGGACCACTCCCTGCTATAGAGGCTTTTTGCATCCAGTGCAGCAATTGAGTTGAGGGTTTTTATGTTTCCTCCCATGGTTTTAATTCTTATGCTGTTTTTCTGGCTATTCTTATCTAGGAAAAGTTGCATATGATCCAATGCCTTCTACATTATATGGACCCAACTCCTTCCTTTATTAATCACATATAAATGAATTTTTCTTACAAAGATTTGTGCTGTAGCAAAAACATATAGGTTGAACTGAAGGACATGGTATCAGGGTTTTAAGACAGTTTGTTAAGGAATTTTTATTGATTGTTAGAGATGAAGGAAGGAGAGAGAGAAACAAACAAACAAACATCGATTTGAGAGGGAAATGTCCACTGGCTGCTTCTTGCATGCTCCTAACTGGGGATGGAGCCGGAAACCTGGCATGTGTCCTGATAGGGAATCAAACCCTTCAGTGCAGGGCACAACACTGCAGCCAACTGAGCCACACCAGACAGGGGACTGTACCATAGTTTTAAAAAGTTATCACCAAATCATGAGATGTCTAAACAGGGACTGGAAGACTTTCACTCCAGCTATCGATGGTAAGAAACAACAAACACTAGCTCCTTGGAAAGAAAAAATGTCACAGCACTTTTTTTTAAAAAAATCAGTAGGCCAATGCTGTTCACCACAGTCCATGAATTCAATTAAGGAAATGGTGCATGAAAGTGAGTTCTAGGCAAGCTATTTATACATCTACAAACTGCTGATGTTATCCCATCAAGCCAAGAATGTACTTAAATTATAGTGAAACTCAAGACATGAAGTAGTAGGACATAGAGAAGATTAATGCAGATCCTAGACTTGAGTAATTACTATATGCTGAACATTGTGCTAGCTGACATAATTAAATTTTAAAGAAACAGATACGGATGTTGACTTATAAAATGTATAATCATGTTGAAGAAGTAAGATGCATGTTCAAGTTCTCTTCTGCCAGACGGGGAGGCCTAATGACATGAGAAGCATAAGATAATTTCCAGCAAGTGTACTTCTTACTAACAAAACCATGAAACCGGAGCATATACTTTTCGTTGTGCTACTCATTTTGAACCTCTAAAATAGAGCAGCTACTTATCAGTTCCAGGAAAACTTTCAGTGGATACAACACAATCAATTCTAATTTTAAAAACTGGGCAGGTTTATAGGACTACAGCAGAGGGTTGTGAAATGATCATAATAACTCAAGAGAAATGTAAATGTTTTTGCCTTAATAAAACAAACTTACAGCTGGACAGGTTTACATCCATTGAAATAGAGCAAAACATTTCATTTGGTTGAGATCTTTGATCTCTTTTTGCACTATTCACTAATTTGCTACATGTAAATTACTGTAAAAACAATTGTTCCCATTTAGTATGCCATTCCTAACAGTCCTTTTTCCTGCATACATAAATAAAGATAAGGATCTCTTCTTACCCCCCATGTACATTTTTTTTAAAGGTAGCAAATTCATTCCTCTAAACTAGTAAATTGCTTAAACATATAACATGTGGGTAGCCTCATAGCTTTGTGGGTGGGCCAGGTTTCCACTCACGAAGTTTGGAAAAGGATTCTAGGGGCCTCCTATTTTCTACATTCAGTTGTACGTATGCTTTCTATTTCTAGCAACCATTTACTATGTCCCTGGTCCCAGAGAAATTCCCACTGATTTTTTTATACTTTAAAATGTGATTTTTCCCCCCCTCTTGTCTCTGAGGACAGATACATGAAATAAAGATAATAACGAATGTCACATACAATATTCTTTAAAACATTAGGAATGTTCCATATCCCCACATGTAACACTTCTCTCATTCCAGAGTCCGTGTCCATGTGAAGGCCCGCAAATGAGGGCAGGGTTCTTCTCCATAGGAGGGAAGAGAGACTCTTTGTTTATTTGACAAAGAAGAAAGTAAATTTGTGAACCATAAATGTGCATTCAAATAATGCACTGTTTAATGCCCACCAAAGTGGAAGGATAGTCAAAATTAAAGTTCTGGTAATTATCAAATAATTGAATTAGAATGGATCAGTAGATAGAACAGAAGTTCTCTGAATCCACACAATAGATACTGCAAAATTATCTACATATGTGTACAGAAAAGTAAATTGTATGAATTAGGCCTAGCATCTTCAAAACAGCCATTTTCAAAAGAAATAGGAGGGAAATCTAATAACCGATGAAACTGGCCAATACTAAGCGGATCAAAGTAAGAGTTCATCTTAAGGATTAGAAAACATTAGAAAAACTTTCATCTCACTTCAACTATTTATAAATTACATGGGTTCCATTAATGAAAATTGCTTTAATTTAATGAATTGTGCTTTTAAAAAGAAAAAAGAACAAGCTTTCAATATCGAATCACTGCATTTTACAACAAATTTAAATTAATGCTGTCATGAAAATCAACTCATACTTCTGATGAATAAAAACTAATTAAGTTATAAGCTATCATGGAAACTCAGAGCAAATGCTTAACAACCCAATTGTAAATCTTAACTGAATAAAAATGCCACCAAAACTAGTAGACTGAAAAATAATGACATGTAACAAAAGGTAGGAAATAAAATAAATGTACTTTGCATAAAATTATTTACCACACAAAATATTTAGATGTTTTTATTTATCCAAAGAATTTAAAATAAATGAGTTTTATATCAGTACAAATGTTACATTTGTGCACACGTTTTTCAAATCTTATTTAAAAGATCAAAGAAGTAATGAACCCAGAACTTTACATTTTAAACAGTCAATGGAAAAACTAACATTTACTTTAAAACATGTTTTAAAAAATCAAAATGAACATTTTTTTTCAGTTGCTCCACATAGTGATTTCTTCTAGAAGAACATAACTTTGCCACTGCTATATTATGTCACAATTAGCTGAAGCATTACATACTCTACAATTAACATCTGTATTCTCCATAAAATTTTTCAAAATAAAAAGTTAAAAGCAATCCAATGATTAATATGAAGCCTGGATTTGTTTAGCTAACCTTATTTTTAAGATACAACTATATTTATTAGATTTACTAATTTTTCTCTGAATAAACATCAATCAATCAAAACCAACTTAAAAATGAAAAATATATTAAAATTGATAGAAAATGGCATTAAGATCATTAACAACTGTGTTCCATGTATTCAAAAATCTAGAAGAATGAGCATGTCACGTAGAGAAAAGAAAATGTAAATAGTTCAAACCTAACTTCTGAAGTGAAAAAACGGGATCTGAGATTAAAAAATTAATAGCACTGGAGGGATTAACAGCATATTTGACATGACAGAAAATATGGTTAGTGAACTTGAAAATATAACAACAGAAATAATTTAAAATGAAACTGAGAAAAAGGAAACAAAGACTACAACTCAAATCAAAAAATAAAAGAAAAAAATAAACAGAGCCCCAGTGAAATATGGATCAACGTCAAACAGCTTAACATACAGATAATCAAAGTCCCCAGGGTAAGGAGAAGGGCAGAAAAAAATAATGAAAAAATAATGGCGGAATATTTCCAAGTTGAATGAAAAATTAAAAAAAATTTTTTTTTATTGTTTGAAGTAGTACATATGTCTCCTTTCCCCCCCCCCCCCATTGACTTCCCCCCGGCCTCCCCTACCTCCC